TTCCAACCCAAACCATCCCATGTTTCTATGACCCCGAGCACTGGCAGTTGCTGTGTGATTTGGCATGACACTGGTTGCCATCAGAGCTGCTGCTGTTCTTGGTGGGTACTCAGAGCTTGTCTGCCAACGTGAAAGGTTTGTCCTTTTGGGCATTTAAAGTCCTTTGTCTCCCTGGTGCAGCTGTGATCCCCCTGACGGACTCCGAGCACAAGCTGCTCCCTGTGCACTTTGCCGTGGATCCTGGGAAGGAATGGCAGTGGGGAAAAGATGACAGTGACAACGTCAAGCTGGCCAGGTTGGTTATCTGCAGACCAGAGTGGTCACGGCTGGATGGTTCAGTGCTCTGTCCCCAGCTGGGGATTTCTTGTCTCTGGATTAACGTACTCAGGGTGTGAACCTCTTTGGTGGGGATGGAACCGCTTTTTCTCTTACTTCATTCTCTTCTGATGCCCAAATTTTGGTACATTTTGGGTAGGGTTGTGACATTTCAAGTACTTGAAGCCACACCTCAAGTACTGTGTTCAGTGTTGGACCCCTCACTCCAAGAAGGACATGGAGGTGCTGGAGCGTGTCCAGAGAAGGGTCTGGGGCACAAGTGTGCTGAGTTCCTGGCTGAGGGAACTGGGGGTGTTGAGCCTGGAGAAAAGGAGGCTGAGGGGAGACCTTCTGGCTCTGTCCAAGTCCCTGAAAGGAGGGTGCAGAGAGGTGGGGGTGGGTCTGTTCAACCAAGGACCAAGGGACAGGACAAGAGGAAATGGGCTCCAGTTGCACCAAGGATGGTTTAGGTTGGATATGAGGAAAAACTTCTCCACCCAAAGGGTGGTCAAGCATTGGAACAGGCTGCCCAGGGAGGTGGTGGAGTCACCTTCCCTGGTGGGATTTAACAGACGGGCAGACGAGGTGCTGAGGGACATGGGTTAGAGGTAGAGTTGGCAGTGTTGGGTTTATGGTTGGACTCAGTGATGTTAAAGGTCTTTTCCAACCACTACGATTCTATGATTCCATCTCATCAGCTTCATTCTCACAAGGTTAAGAGACAGTTCCTCCAAATCCTAGAGCTTCAGACTAGGGGTAGCTCAGAAATGAGACACGACGGAGGATCAGCTGTTGTATTCACACAAAAACCAAGATGTATTTTTCCATTCCTCTGTCCCCACTCGAAGATCACGAACATCTCCAAGCGTGGGCCCTGGAGCAGGGAGGACAGCTCGCAGTCAGACACTCTCTCCTATTTTTGACTCAGGCTCTGGGCGAGCCGTCTCATGGTTTGGTAGTAACCAGTTTCCTGTTATTGAGCCAGAAATCAGCAGCAGTGGGTGTAGTGGTCAGAGAGCTGGAAGCATGACTTGGCCATCATCTGACTTGGGGTTAAGAAACCTAGAAACCTCCAAGATCAAAGTATTAAAATTCACTATTAAAATTCAAATCGGAGGTTTTACTGATGCAGTATCTCATTTTGAGGGGTTTGGAGTCAGAAGAAAAGACACTGTCCCTGTGTTTTTGTGTTTTTAGTGGAAAGAATGATTTTATTTTCTTTTTAAATTTTTTTTGACAAGTGGAAATTTTTGAGAAGACATCTTTACTCTTTTCTGAAGTTGTTTTTGTGGAGAGGAGGAGAATCATTTTGAAACCAGCTCTATTTAGATCTGTGACATCTGGATTTTTGGGTTATTTGTCTCATGCACAAGTAAGATTATTGGTTGAGTTTGTTTTAATTTGTAGCAAGCTTGATTTTTGACGTTCAGGAATCTTCTTATTTATCCATTTGGGTTTTAAGTGAAAGGTTTGGAAGGCTACAAAGATGTTACCTTTGGTGTCTCTGCTGTCTCAATGCAATTTTACTTGTTGTGTTTAAACCTGCGTTTTAATATAAAGACAACAGGCTGTAAATATGAAAAAGAGAAACCTCAGTTATTAAAATGAAACTTGACTCTTAATTTATTAATTTTTTTTTAATCCTTGTTTTAAATTTCAGTGTGACGTTATCGCTGGAAGCAAAGCTGCACTTGCTGCACAGCTACATGAATGTGAAGTGGATCACGTTGCCTTGTGACATGCAGGTAAAGAGACCAGGAGGATTTTCTTTACTCTTTAATTATTTAAACCTCCCTTCTGCCGTGAAGTCATCATCTGGTTTGCTCTTCTCCTTCACCTGAGGTTGTCTCTGCCTGCAGACATTGTGGCTAACACCGCTCTGAGGAGTTAAATTACTTGGTTTTTAAGTGTGGACTTTTTTTCCTAGAGCTTTTCACGGCTGTTTTTACTCATCATACAAAGTGGAAGTGCAGCCCTCGTCCATCCCGCGGGGCAGCCTCTTGTGTAGGTGGCTGGCAGCAAAGACGAGGCTGCTTGCTCCAAAACAAACACAAACTGTTGATTTATGGCCACCAGAAGCTACCTTGAGACACACAGTTTTGACTGTAGTTTTCCTGGGACCTTTTCTTAGCAGGAAAACTCCTGTTCACCCCCCAGATCTCCGTGGCAGATGGTGGTGGCTGCCTTGACAGCGTGAAGGGGTGGGGTTTTTTTTCCCCCTTTTCTCTTTTAAGGAGAAAACTCTCCAAACTTCAATATGAGCTGTTTCAGTCTGAAACTTTCAAGGTGTCATCTCTGTAGCAAAGCTCAAAGGGTGACGTTTTGGTTCAGTGACCTCCTTACCTGCCCACGTGCTCTCAGACACTTTGCTTAGAAATACCATCACCCGTCCCCATCTCGGCTTTATCGACGTACAAACCATTGATGTGAAGGAACAGAGGATGCTGTGACCTCAGGGAAACAAGTTCCAGCTACACTTGTGGGTGACCAGAGGGGGAATTTGTTGGCCCCCTCCTCACCAGTATCACCCCCTTCTTCTTCTCTAGCTTTTCCCTTGAAACCTTTAGTAAGTGAAGACATTTATGGGTGTGCAGGACGGCTGCTGGGGACGTGTCACAGAGCATTTAAATGTTGTCCCTTCCATTCTCCAAGTACCTACTTCTCTGTTTCACCTTCAGCCTGAACATTCTTATCTGACTTTTCTTACTGGACTTTGATACGTGTGTTTTCTTTTTTTCTAGGCACCTTTGGCTCAGCCAGAATCCCCGACAGCTTCGGCGGGCGACGATGCTCGTTCAGCCGCAGAGTCAGGAGAATCAGACAAGGAGTCGGTCTGTAGCAGTTCAGCGAGTAACGGTGGCAGCAGGGGTTGCAAGGACAAAGAGAAACCAAAGAAAGACCGAGAAAAGGAGAAAGAAAAAGAGAAAAAACGAGCAGACTCAGTTGCTAATAAGCTGGGCAGCTTCGGCAAGACTTTGGGGAGCAAGCTGAAAAAGAACATGGGTGGCTTGATGCACAGCAAAACTATCAAGGGAGGTGTGAGCAACGGGCAGGGAGATACCTTGGAGAAGAAGAAGAAAGGGTCCTTGAAGTCAAGGAAAGGCAGCAAAGAGGAATCTTCCCAAGGAGACTTGTCAGCTCCTGTGGAGAAAACCTGCCCAGGTAAAGCAGCTCCCGAAAAGCCGACGGATCCCTACAAATACAGCAACGATGTCCGGCTGAGCCTGAGCATCCTCCGAGCTGCCATGCAGGGAGAGCGCAAGTTCATCTTCGCCGGCCACCTCAAAACCAGCAACCGGCACCAGTACCAGGAGGAGATGATCCAGCGGTACCTTCTGGATGCTGAGGAACGCTTCTTGGCTGAGCAGAAACAAAAGGAGGCGGAGAAAAAGGCACTGGGAAGCACTGCCCCTGCCAAGAAGCCGGAACCGGAGATGAACACCCACAAGGGCGAGGAAGTGATGCTGAACCCCGCTTACCCCCAGCCTCCCCCTGCATACGCCATCCCTACCCCAGATATGACCATCGGCCCTAAAATAGCAGCTTTTCCCTCTGGTTATTCGGGTGTTTTCACTTTTCCCAGACCCTCGGTGGTGAACAGCATGGAAGGGTCTCATCCCCCCGGCTATCCAGACAGCCGGCGGCAGGTGGCCGGAGGTTCCTGCGGCAACCTTCCTCCCTACGCCACCTTACCCAGACACTGCACCCAGGTGCGACCCAATCCCTACCAAACCAACCCTTCCCACCTGGGGAGATTTTCCCCCACGGACATGGACATCCATCCTACTTATCCATCAGAAAACGACAGCTCAACCTGCCTCCCCCCACACAGCAACGGCTACAGGGAATACCTCGAGCAGGACGGCTCGCAGAGAGGAACGCCGGCGGACAGGAATAAAAGCCGCGTTCTTTATAACGTTCAGCAGACCAAATGCAAACAACCGAACTGCAGTTTTTATGGACATCCAGAAACTGGGAATTTTTGTTCCTGTTGTTACAAAGAAGAGATGAAACGGAAAGAGCGAGAGGCTTTGGTGCATAGGTTCTGAGCGCTCTGCCCCGGCGCTGATCTTAGGACCCATGGAAGATGGGGAATGCAATAATATAGATATTTTTGGGGGGTTTTTTTAAACCCCTCCCCGCGCTTCTTTCCCTGTCTGCGGAAGGAGGGGAGTGGATGGGCTGAGAAATGGGATTTGGTTGATGTGATGGAGGTGATAAGGGAGGGAGAAGGGGTGAGAAAAACCAGCCCTCCCTCCAGCGAGAGGGAGAAGGATGCTTCTCCAGAGGTTTCTCCTAGCTGAGGGGTGAGCAGGATTAGCGGAGGGTGTGCTCAAGGGGGGGAGCACAGGGTGGGAAGCAGGGGGAGATTCTTCAAAACGATCAGATAAACCAGACCAAAGCTTTTGGAGAAGGCAAATGGGGAGCAGCACCCCAGTGGGTCCTTCCAGCTGCCCTCCCACGTCGCGAACTGCCCAGAATGGAATGAAAACACCCCAACAATTTCAGTTTGAACGTCACAAACCTTTTAATTTGAGATTTTTTTAAAAAAACCACACTGTTTTCATTTTATATTTCTTTTTGCTGGTACTGAGCGAAACTTAGTTGGAATTGGATGTTACTGAGGGGATTTTTATTTTTGGTTGAACTCTCATCAGAGCCCAGCACCATCGGATGGCTCCGAGCATCTCTTAGCAGCAGGCTCAGGGCTCTCTGCCCTTCTCCTGGGCTCAACGCTTGTTTTTAAAACATTCTTTTAATTTTTTTCTCTTGGGGTGGGTGGGAGACAGAGGGGGTGGTCACAGTGCTTGATTGGTTTTGAGTTTTTGGGGT